CTCTTTTTTAAGATATTAATATAACCTTCAAGCACACACATGTCACACTGAATCACATTTGTGTGGACCGGTCCTTCTTTCATTCAGACACACGCTGCACCCACCGTTCTCACTTTTGGGATCCCTGAACACAGACACAGACAATACACAGAACAGAGAATTCCTTGGCGTGTGCTCCTTAACTCAAGAACTGAAAGTACAGAGTGGGAGGGGAGCAGCCAAGCCAAGCTCCCTACGCCATCTTCCCCACTCCAGACCACTCTGGTCCTTAAGGCCAGAGTGTCAGAACCAGGGGCCTCTGGGCACGTCTGCCGCTCCCACTGGTTTCCAGAATACAGACTTACAGGTCCTGCACAGGCACAAATGTTCAGATGGAATGTTCCCAGAACAGGAAATGACTTACAGACATTAAGACCAAGACAAACTACAAGACGTCCTTACCTCCTGCTGATCTGAGGAAATGGGTCTGGGGGCAACCAAATCCCGGACGAGCCCCCAAATGTTGGGTCCCCCAGTCTGGGGTACCCAACGTCCACGGAAGGTTGCACCCCAATAACTCAGTCCTCAGACCAGGAGATGCAACAAGCAAGAGGATTTAATCGTTTGCACAGACGGGCTCCTGCCTCAGAGAGAGAGAGAGCAGCAGCCCAGAGCTCAGCTTACAGGCTTCTTTTAAAGGCAAAAACCACAAGCCACAAGTGGCAGAAGTGGGGGCGGGGGTAGTTTCAGGTAAGCGGCAGAAGTGGCAGAAGTGGGAGGGGGAAGTTTTGGGTGATTTCCATCTTGTGCACGGAGCATGAAAAGGTCTGCTCTTTCACAGCAGTTAAAATTATTTACATCTTACTTCCTTGTACAGTTTCCCAGAATATTCTTCTTTTGGTCTGGGGGGACTTGGTTTGATTCCATCAAGATCATTTTGCTGTGATTTTATTTTTATTGACATCTGCTATTTTGTTATATAGATTTTTAGGTGTAATGGAATTTAAAAGTTTTTATTTATTTATTTATTTATTTATTTATTTATTTATTTTTTGGTCTTTTTGAGACAGGGTCTCCCTTTAGCCTCAGTTGTCCTGGAACTCACTATGTAGACCAGGCTGGCCTTGAACTCACAGAGATCTGCCTGCCTGTGCCTCCCAAGTGCTGGGATTAAAGGCGTGCAGATAAATATGGGTTGAGTATCCATTATTGGAAGTAATTGAAACCAAAGTTGCAAATTTCTTATTTTTGTTCATGTTTCACAATATTTGCATAAATACAATGAAATTAAAGATGGTGTCCAAGTCTGAATGTGAAATTTACTAAAGTTTCATATGCACATAGTCTGAAGGTGATTTTATACCTTATTTAAAAATTACATTTATGGGGCTGTGCCACAGCATGTGTAGAGGTCAGAAGCTACCCTGCAGATGTTAGTTCTCTTCTTCCACCATACCCACCTGGGGATCTAACTCAGGTCCTCAGGCTTGGTGGCAAGCACCTTACCCACTGAGCCATCTCACTGGCCCTTATACTACATTTTTAATATACTTACAGTTTGAACCTAGGTGCAAGTGAGGTCAGCTATGGAATTCTCTACTTTTGGTGGTGTGTTGATGCTCAAATGATTTCAGAGTTTGGAGCATTTACTTCAGATTTTTGGTTCAAGAATGCCTAGGTTTTGCTCTGCTTTTAGAGACAGGGTCTCCCTGTAGCTCCAGCTGGCCTGGAACTCACTATGTAGACCAGGCCGGCTTTGAACTCACAGAGATCTGGAGAGGAAGAGGTCTAAAGGGAGGGAGAAGAACAACAATACAAAGTAATTAGAGAAAGGACAAAAACAATCTCCTGTTCTCTCAGCAATATATATATATATATTATATATATATATATATATATATATATATTAATAGTAAGATTATAGTGGGATGTGGAGACACACGCCTTTAATCCCAGCACTGGGGAAGCAGAGGCAGAGTGATCTCTGTGAGTTCAAGGCGAGCCTGGGCTATATAGGCCTCCCGGCTCAGCTGGGGCTATAGGGAGACCCTGTCTCAAAAAAATAAAAAAAGTAAAATTACTGTCTGATATATTAGCTACTAGGCATGTTTAAACAAGCTGGACATAGTGGTTTGGTGCATGCCTGAAAATCCTAGCACTTGGAAAGCAGAGCCAGTAGAGTTGTAAATTAGAGGTTAGCCTAGGCTGCAGAGCGAGACCATCTTGAGCAAACAATTATAATTAGAACTAAAAATTCAATCCCTCATTTATGCTGATTGCATTTCAAGTGCTCCCTAGCCATGTGTGACTGACTGGTAGTTGTGGTAGTGTACAGCACAGAGAATGTTTGCATAGTTGGAGAAAGTTTTTTTAAAAAAAATATTTTTATTTTATGTGTATGAGTGTATTGCCTGCATGTATGTAAGTGCACTCGTGTTGTGCAATGTCTATGGAGGTCAGAAGAGGGTGTCGGATCCCCAGGAACTGGAGTTATGGACAGTTGTCAGCTGCCACATGGCTGCTAGGAATCGAACCTGGGTCCTCTGCCAGAGCAGCCCATGTTCTTAACTGCGGAGCCATCTTTCCAGCCCCGGAGAAAGTCCTTTTGAATAGTGGTGGTCTGAAGCATAGGTTTTTTTTTTTTGTCTTCAAGAATTTCATAAATGTATTTTGATCAGATCATATTCAATCCCCTTTCCCCGATTCCTCCCAGATCCACCCCCACTTTTCTACCCACTCAACTTTTTTTTTTTTTTTTTAAATAAGGATTTTTTAATGCATTGAATCCAGTTGTGCTGCCCATATACTCTTGGGTGTGTGGCCATCACTGGAGTGTAGTCCACCTACCAGGGGCCACATCCTTAAAGAAAACCAACTCTCCCTTTCCTAGCATCCTCATCTAGGGGTGGGACTGCACCCACTTCCTCTCTCCATGGTGGATTTCATCTGGCTTGAACTCCTAGGTCTTGTCCATGCTGTCACAACTTATCACCAGAGTTCTCTCTGGGTTTCTTGTGCTATCAGGTAAACCATATGACATATCTTAATGTACATTTATTATTATCATTGTGGTGGGGGGTAGTGACTTAAAACAAACACCCAATGCCTAGCTCTAAGCGTGGCTCAGAGCCTGCCATATCAGATCCCGCAGCATGCCCATAGTGACCGCTAGCTTTCGCCCATGCCTCAGGGGCCAGCAGTCTTGCCCCAGGTGCATAAATGCCAGGCCATTCTGTCCTTGAGTATGGCGCCATACTTCCTCGGTTAACTCTCCACAGCAGGCCCTGCCCCTTGGAGGAACTAGAACCCCTGGGGAACACAACACCTATGAGTTTGTATGTGGAACTGTTCTCTTGTGTTGGGAAAACACGCCCCTTGTCATCATCCACTACCTTTGGCTTTCTGCCTTGGGAGGAGGCCGTGTGATGTAGAAGTCTATTTAGGGCTGAGTAGTCCACAGTCTCTTACTATGTGCATCTTGACTAGTTGTGGATCTCTGTGAAATATAACGGAGGTTCATTAAAAAAAAAAAAAAAAAAAGATGAAGCTGGACATGGTGGTGCATGTCTTTAAACCCAGTACTCAGGAGGCAGAGGCAGGTTAATCTCTGTGTTTGAGGCTAGCTTGGTCTACAAGTTCCAGGCCAACTAGTACTGTATAGTGAGATCCTGTATCTCAAAGAATGGAAGAAAAAAAGTGAGAGACAACAAAAACTAGATGCTTAATTAGGTTTAAAAATAAAGTAGGAGAGGGCTCCGGAAGCGCTGTGCACGAGAAGATGGTGCTGGAAGCTGGCGATACGGAAGACGGGCAACTTTCCAGCTCCGATTCCTACATGACAGTCGTACCCAGCGACAGACCACTGCCAGTGCCGAAAGTGCTAGGTGGGGACAGTGTGCTGAGAGCTTTCCAGAGTACTGCGACAGTATGTGTACCAGTGTCACATTACCGGATTGTTAAAAGCGTGGATTCAAGTGAAGAGAGTTTTTCCAATTCAGATGAAGATTAGCTCTCTTTGGAAACGGAAATGACAGAAATGTCTTAATCCTCCTCCCAAAGGAGAGCCTTTTCAGTTTGGCCAGAGCAGTCAGAAAACAGCTGTTGCTGGAGGAAAGAAGGTGAACAACAACATATGGGGTGCTGTGCTGCAGGAACAGAGTCAGGATGCAGTGGCCACTGAACTTGGCATCTTGGGAATGGAGGGCACCATTGACAGAAACCGGCAATCTGGGACCTACAGTTACTTGCTCTAAGAAAGAGGAGGGAATCTCAAGAGTGTACAAAAGAACTAGACAAAGAGCTAGATGACTATACAGGGTGGCAAAAAACCAGGGTCGAAGGAAGAAGACAATGGGCAGGGCCATCTCAAACAGAAAAGGCCTGTCAAAGACAGACTAGGGGACAGGCTAGAAATGAACTATAAAAGACGGTATGAGATCACATAAGATTCTCAAGAGAAAGTGGCTGATAAGATTTCTTTCAGGTTACAAGAACCAAAGAAAGGTCTGATAGCCCGAGTAGTGAGGATAATTGGGAACAAAAAAGCCACTGAACTTCTGAAGGAAACTGGTGAAGTTGAACAGAATGGTAGTCTTTTCAGAATGAACCGTAGTCGAAGAAGAACACCAGGTGGGTTCTTTCTGAATCTCCTGAAAAACACTCCTAGTATCAGCGAAGAACAGATTAAGGACATTTTCTACATTGAAATTCAAAAGGAGTATGAAAATAAAAAAGCTGCTAGAAAAACAACACAGCTATTAGGGAAAAAAATGAAACAAACTATTAAAAGTCTCAGTTTTCAGGAGGACGATGATACATCACGAGAAACTTTTGCAAGTGACACAAATGAGGCCCTGGCTTCCACCGATGAACCTCAGGAAGGAAATGGGGACGCCAGGGTGGATGCTGAGGAAGCCATTGAGGTGGACCATCATCACGATTTGGACATCTTTTAAGCACATTTTGGACATTTTAAAGAATAAACCTTTCTAAAATGACATCGTAGCAAATTTTTCTATTGAAGTTGCTTTACTTTGCACCTAATCTAGAGAAAGGAGAGCTGTTTCTTGTTTTAAGTAAAAAGCTAATGTATGTGGAGTGGAATGTCATTTCGGGAAATGATTAAAGGCAACTGTATCTGAAAAAAAAAAAAGTAGGAGAGATGGCTTAGCAGTTAAGAGCACTGACTTCCCTTGCAGAAGACCAGAGTTTGATTCTCAGCACCCAAATGGTGGCTACGAACCGTCCTTAACTCCAGTTCCAAAGCCCTCTTCTGATCTCCTTAGCATTGCACGACAGAGGTGCACTCACATACGTGCAGGCAATACACTCATACACATAAAATAAAAATAGTAAATAAAATTAAAAAAAAAATAAAGTAGGAGCTGGTTGTGGTGGCACAGGCTTTTAATCCCAGCACCCAGGAAGCAGAGGCAGGCAGATCTCTGGCCTAGCAGACCAGCTGGGACTATAGGGAGACCCTGTCTCAAATAAATTAAAAATAAGTAAATAAATTAATAAAGTAGGCAGAAACTGTCCTTTTCAGAACATAGTGTAACTATAATTTCTTTGCTCTTGCTGAGATGCATTAAACAGTGATAAACCTATGTCATCATTCATTTATTCTCAAATTGAATATTTTTAATTTGAAGGATGAAGAAGATGATGATGATTATGTTGATGAAGGGGAGGAAGAGGAGGAAGAGGAGGAAGAGGGTGAGTTACATTAACTACAAACAAACTCTAAAGATACAGCTATGTTGCATGGATTGTTACAGAGTGAGTCTATCATGAGAATTATTAGCACTCCCAGGCAGATAATACCTTTTCACATTTGCTCTTAAGTTCTCTTTATCTAGGTCTTTCAAAATAATCTTTTTTTTTTTTTTTTTTTTTTTTTGGTGTTTTTGAGACAGGGTCTCCCAGTCCCAGTTGGCCTGGAACTCACTATGTAGCCCCAACGGGCCTGGATCTCACAGAGACCCCCCTGCCTCTGCCTTCCAAGTGCTGGGATTAAAGGCGTGTGCCACCATGCCAGCCTTCAAAATAATGTTTTAAATTAAGAATTGCTTTGTTGTCTCTTAGTTTTCTGACCTGTACTTCGTGATCTGCCCACAGAGTGCATAGAAAACTGTCATTATTTACAGATTTCTGAGTCTTCTATGAAGTCTGTTTATACACTGACATTGAAAGAGATTTCACTATGAAACAGTATGATTAAAAATGTGGTGCACGCCTTTAATCCCAGCATTTGGGAGGCAGAGGCAGGTGGATCTCTGGGAGTTTGAAGCCAGCCTGGTCTACATAGTGAGTTCCAGGCTAGCTGGAGCTACTGGGAGACCCTGTCTCAAAAAGATAAAAAAAAAATAAATAAAAATAGAAACTTTGTAACTTAGCTGGGCGTGGTGACAGACACCTTTAATCCCAGCATTTGGGAGGCAGAGGCAGGTGGATATCTCTGAGTTCAAGGCCAACCTGGTTTATATAGTGAGTTCTAGGCCAGCTGGGGATACAGGGAGAGCCTGTCTCAAAAAGACCAAAAAAAAAAAAAAGAAACCTTAGCAACTTAACAAATACTCATTTGGAAAATTAGGTATTTTATACATTTACTTCTTTCAGATGAAGAAGGTCTTCGGGGAGAGAAAAGGAAACGAGATGCTGAGGATGATGGAGAGGAAGAAGATGACTAGACCCCTTTCAGCTCAGATTCCCTGGCGCTGCTGGCGTGCAGTAGAGTGTCACATCTCTGTTCCTTCCTGTATGATAGCTGTCCCTCAAAAGATACTGTGTAACTTTTTATAGGAAAAGTGTGGTTTTGCTATTTTTGCCTTATCATTCCGATTAAGATTTACTAGTCTGCTAATCATAATGTAAGTAGAAAAGAATTTTCATGTATCCTGTTGTGAAATTCTCTAGCATTGTATTTCAAATCTTAATTTTTCTAATCCATGCTTACTGTATTAGACATTTTTATCCCATAATTAAAACATGATTGCTTTTACACAGGTGTAGTTTGGTGCATTTCATTCATGATGTTTTAAAGTTATTTATAAATTAACAAATTATAGTCAGCTATAATATGAAATGACAATAGTCTCTTGAATGATAAAGGTGATTAATATTTTAGAGGTGATCCAGAAGTCTTTAGTTTGCAGGTAATGTTTTGGGGGTGGGGATAATATTTTGGGAGTGGCTTTTTCGTTATATAAGTAAGTTGGACAGTAGGCACAGAATACTAAAGGTTCTATTTAGTATAGTTCATGGGTTTGGGGAAGCTCAGAATGTTCAGTGATACAGCTCCAGGCTTTTATGGTGACTGAAAAGATTTTATTTTTGAAGGAAAAGTTGCTTATGTAAGGTCAGAGTCATGCATGGAACATGTGTTGAGGCTGTGGATCATGCTGGCCAGCAGTCGTGTGTTCTTTAGGAGGGCTGTGAGCTCTTCGCAGCCATTTCTCCATTCCTGCTTCTCTTTCCTACCAAAGACAGCTGGCAAAGTTGTGGGTCCGCAGAGAACTTTGCCTTAAGTGTCACCTACTTTTTTGGATCTGTCTTCTTCTTCTTTTTTTTTTTTTTGGTGTCTTTGAGAAGGTCTCCCTGTAGCCCCAGCTGATTTGGGACTCGCTATGTAGACCAGGCTAGCTTTGAATTCACAATGATCCCCCTGCCTCTGTTGCCTAGGTGTGCGCCACCATGCCCGGCAGATCTGTTTGTTTTAAACAAGTGTTAGAAATGGAATATTTTTTGGGATCACAATATGAGTATTGATATAGTATGAGGAGATATGTGTCTTTCTTGTTGATAGTACATAGCATTGTATTAATAGGACAGAGAAACAGCAGCACTAAGGTATGTCTGCTCAGAACGATTGCGATTGCTGCTGTTGAATATATTCTAAGTGGAACCTTTAATTGTTCTTCCTGTAGTTTTAAAGCATTATTAGATATAGCATTTGATTGGAACATAGTAGGCAGTTGGAGAACTGTTTGAAAACTAAATATTAAAATTGAGATTATTTCAGGTGGTGTCTTAAAATAGAAAAAACATTTGGGGTAAGTAATATGTGCTTGCTTGTATGGCTACTAAATAAATAGAAAGGGTAGACAAACGCATCTCCCTTTTTGTTGTGGAGGCTCCATGTTCAAGGCAAATGATCTGGTATTTTAAAACAAAAAATATGAGTCATTTGTAGAGAAACTAAAAATGTTTGCATAACTGAATGAAATAAAACACTTGTAATAAATTTAGTGGAAGTACTAGAATCTCTAAAGAACTAATGTTTTTCTCCCAATTTTAACAATTGGAATGCCTGCTTTTAGTCCCTAAGTTCTCATTGCACACTATGCCAGATTGAAAAAAAATGCTTATTTTTAAAAGGAAATCTGTATATTGACTTTTTAAAATCAATCATAGATTGTGTAATGAAAATTAGAGTTCTTTGGTTTGAAAAACAACACATAGAGCCTCCAGATAACTTTCAAGATTTACTTAGCTTTGTTGGGTAGTATATTCATGCAAATAAAGGGTGGGTTTTATGTTTAGAAGTTTTGGATCCTGTTTTAATGCTCTTTGTATGGTGGTATGTATATAGTGAGTTAAGTTCCTTAAGAATTTCTCCTTAAAAACTTCAAAGTTAATAATACTTTGTGCAGTGTTTTAAATAAAGCCATGACAGTGTTAAAAATTAACAAAGGAACACAGTACTCCCAATCTTTTACTGTTTTTTGACACTTCTCTTTTTTTTTCCCGTGACTGCTGTAACTTAAAAGTTTTTGAAACTGAAATTGCTTCAAATAAATTGAAGATTTGTGATAATTATTAGTTTCAGTGTTTGACATTTACTCTCCAGCAATACCATTGGCTGCTTTGAAGAAAACTCTTCTATGTAAACTTTTTCCAAGAAGCAAAAAATTCTGGATTGGCTCAGATTTCTTTTTGGAATTGTAATTGAACCAGGACTATACTGCCTATAGCTGAAGCAAGTATTCTCTATAAAGTGATTATAAAACCATAGTATGTACATTGGTTTTTCTAAAATGAGCACAAATTCCATTTGTACTATATTGTTTCTCTTCAGAATCTTTTTTGTTCTTTGTTTCTGAGACAGTTTCTCCTTGTAGCCCTAGATAACCTGGAATTCACAATGTAGACCAGGCTGGCCTTGATCTCATAGATATCAGCCTGCCTGTGCTGGGATTATAGACCTACACTACCACCATGCCTGGCTCTTCAGAATCTTCTGATAGTATAAATACAAATATGTTTGAAATTCTTGTTTATCTTGAAACAAACCATAGATTTTTTTTTTTAATTCTCAGTTTTGGGTGATCTTTAACATGTTTCATTTGTAGACAATTCTGGAATGTATTTTATAAATTTAAGGCATATGTATGAAGTTTGTGTGATTTTTGTTTGTCTTAATGCTTTTTAAAAAATTCAAAGGTAGAAATGTGTGGAGGCAGGAGGATTGCCGCAAGTTCAATGTCAATCTGGACTGCTGTATGAGATCCTGTCTCAAAAAAAAAAAAAAAAAAATTCAAGTTTTTTCTTCCCTTAAAATGATAGAAGCCAGGTGTGGTGGCACACACCTTTAGTCCCAGTACTCTGGAGGCAGAGGCAGGCGGAGCTCCATGAGGTCAAGGCCAGCCTGGTCTACAATAGGGAGTTCCAGGTCAGCTGGGGCTACAGGGAGACCCTGTCCCCCCAAAAAGGAAAAAGAATGGTAAATCACAGTAGAGATTGTGATTCAGAACATGCCTAATTATTGTTTATTCCTTGTTCTGTTTTAAAGGGAGGCTTTGGAATACAACATTAATGCTAGTTGCTGGAAATTTCTCTATTGTCTTTAGTGCTGGATTCAGTGATATTCTGCAGGTGTTGCTTAAAATAGCGTTCTACTAAGTGCCTGCCTTTTCATGTACTAATCAGTCTCGGAAGTGGGAACCTGGCCTGGGTTCTGGCCTGGGCAGCTACTTGTGTTACTAGTCTACTGAAGAGTCCAACTTGAAGGAGAACAAAAGGGAAATTTCCCACGAAAGGGAAATTGCAAGATAGGCTTTTATCCCAGGAGTATTTTTTGTTTTACTGTTGTTCCTGGGGATCTGATGCCCTTTTCTGGCCTCTGTGGGCATTGCATGCATATGGTGCACTTAAATACATGCAGGCGAAACATATACACATAAAAATAAAAAATTAAAAAACAAAACAAAACAAGGACAACAGGAACAGAAAACAGAGGACATCACCTCTTAAATGCAGCAGTCGGAGGTGAAGTGCTTTTAGCTATGTTCTTTTCCAAGAATATTCTGAGTTAAAATTAACCCATTTCTTCAGTGTTAAGGATCTATTTGTAGATGTAGTAAAAATCTTCCTGGATAGTGTTATCAGTGAGAATTTTTTTCAAAGCCGTCTATATTGGAATGTGGCAGGAACCCCTGGCAGGGTTCTGGGCAGCAGTCTCAGTCCGGGAAGGATTACTACTGTAGAACTAAATTAAATTCCTCCAAGGCTTTTCATTACAATCCACTGGGGGCAAAACCACATGCCCTACACTTCACCACAATAGATTGTTTTAAAAAAAAATTTTTTTTTGTCTTTTTGAGACAGGGTCTCTCTGTAACCCCTGAAACTCGCTATGTAGACCAGGCTGGCCTCCACTCACAAAGATCCGCCTGCCTCTGCCTCCCAAGTACTGGGATTAAAGGCATGTGCCACCACGCCGGGCTAAATGTATTTTAACATTTTTATGTGTATGAGTGTATTGCCTACATGTGTGTGTAAGTGCACACGTGTTATGCACTGCTGGCGCAGGTCAGAGGGCGTTAGATTCCCCTCTGTCATGTGAGTGCTGGGAATTGAACCTGGGTCCTCTGCAAGAGCAGTCAGTGCTCTTAACCACTGAGCCACCTGGCCAGCCCCGACATTAGACTTTCGAAACAACACATCATGACATTTTTATTCAAACGCTTAAACTGACAACGATCTCCTGGGAGAATATGTAACAGTTATCTGTCCTTGTCCTTGGGAACGCCTAAAAATTTAGCTCGATTTCCCCTAATCCCAAATCCCTGAGATACATTGTTTTACTTTGCTTTTTTTAGGTGCTAATTTTTACCACAGTGCTCTTCTGAGATTCTGGAATCTCAGTAGTAAGAATAGGATGTGAGGGAGAGAGCATAAATACGACTTGAAATTAGAGAATTACTTCTTTGCTAGGGAGTCTAAAAAGCCGCTGAACACGTTACAGTGTGCTCCTAGGTTGACTTACGGACACGAAGCAAAGTTTCTGCAAAGTCAGAATCTTAGATTTCAACAAGAATTTAAAAGTTTGAGGTGGAAAACAAAAACAAAAAAAACCCTCCTAAACAGCTCAGGACCCCAAGCTCCAGAATTGTGAGACAAGGATTCTTTCAAAACAATCGCCATTGGGCCAGAAATGCCGCAATGCCGGTCACGTGAGGCAGCAATGCGCCCCCGCCCCCTCGCCGGCTGAGTGCGCAGGCGCAGTGGGCTGGCTGCGCAGCGCTGGTTCTGCTCCATCCGCACCCGCCCGGGTACTGAAACGCTTCCCCGATCCTTTTTCGCCTTTTGTGTCTTGTAACCTTTGCTTTAAGTAAATAGCTGCTCTTTTCTAAGTTAGAGCCGCTCTTTCTAAATTCAAGTACTGAATTATTCTAAAACCCCATATTTAAAAATACCGTCCGACTATTCCGGAGTGGTAAACAGCCGCGTTTTGTACGTTTCCAAGAGGTGAAAGAATTTAAAAAGTTTTAAAAATTTATTGCATTTGTGTATGTGTGCGCGTGCGCGTGTTCTCTCGCCCTGGCACACCAACCCCTTCAGTTCCTACCAGGTGTGGGCCCGGGGTCTCGGCCCTACTCGCTGATCTTCAGTCCTGTTTGTTGCTGAGCCCACTGGCTTTTCTCTGTTTGTGCCAGGTCTGCTTCAATTCTCACTTAGATGCACTTCGTTCAAGGAACTTCACCTCTTGTCCCCAGAGGGTTATTATTTCACCTTCCTATTCCTGTTTTCCCTATCTTAAAGCGGGAAGTGCTGCGTTGGTTAAGTCGAGCAACCAGTTACTCCGAGGAAAACCACTGAAAAACGACAGTCCACACATAAAACCCGAATTTTATGTATGTGGGATCTTTCCTTATGGGAAACAGTGGTTCCGTTGGGGAAATTTTGTGAAGGCCAGTTGCAGGATTAGGACTTTATTTTTTTTTCTTTTAAGACAACGAAATATAGTTTGCCAGAAGTATCTATTGAGGCAAAGCTCATCAAATTCTACTTTTATTAGAATCAGTAAGTCACCTCTCAGAATACTTGCTTTCATTTGTTTTATATTATCGGAGTTTCTTTGGAGTTGTGGGAAGTGTGGAAAAGAATAATTGAATTTTTACAAAAATTTTATTTATTAAAATTAAAAAAAATTATGTGTATTTGTTTATTGCCTACATGTATTTAAGTACACCTGTGTTCTGCAATCCCGGAGGAGGCCAGAAGAGGGCATTTGATGCCCCTGGAACTGGAGTTTCGGAGGTTTGTTAGCCCTCATGTGGGTGCTGGGAATTGAATCCAGGTCCTTTGTAAGAGCAGTCAGTGCTCTTAACAACTGAGCCATCTCTCTGGCCCGGAATAATTGAATACTTATATGCAATTTTTTTTAGTAAATGTATCAAAGCACAGGTACATGTTTCTATAAAATGAGCAATTGTTTGTATTCAGTAGTATTAATGTGAGCAGTTTCTCTGATATTTTAATCATTTTCACAAAACAGTAAAACGGCTGGAGAGATGTCTCAACAGTTAAGAGCACTGGCTGCTTTTACAGAAGACCTGGGTTTGAATCCCAGCACCCACATAGTGGCTAACAACCATCTATTAACTCCAGTTCCAGGGGATCCAATGCCCTCTTGTGGCTTCTGCAGGTACTGTAGGACATGGGTGCACTTATGTACATGCAAACATAACACTCATAAAAAAGTTTTAAAAATTTGAGTAAAACAAAAGTCATTAATTCATTTAAAAATAGAGATGAGGAAGGCTGTGCATGGTGGCTTATGATTATAATCCCAGCACTAGGAGGCTGAGGTAGGAGAATCTTAAATTGGAGGGCAGCCTGGGCACATAGCCAGACCTGTCTTCAGAGGGGAGAGAGACATAAAATGTCGTTTAGTAGTAGAGTTTCTTCATGCACAAGCTTTAGGTTTGCTCCCCACTGTGGGAGGGAGGCGAATGATAACATACCTGGACTTTAAGACCACCCCCCCCAATTTTTTTTTTTTTTTTTTTTTGGTCTTTTTGAGACAGGATCTCCCTGTAGCCCCAGCTGTCCTGGATTTACTATGGAGACCAGGCTGGCCTCGAACTCACAGAGATCTGCCTGCTTCTGCCAAATTTTTATTTCTTTTTTCTTATTCAGAAACATTTTAATCTTAAAGAAAAAAACAACCCAAAATGAACAAAAGCCCCAAACTCCTTTGCTCCTTTTCACAATGGTATACATCTTAACCATAATTTAGAAATGGTTACAAAACAAAGGATTTTCAAATGCATCTTCTCTATGTTATTAAAAAATAAAAATCATGTTGTGCTTTTCCAGTCTTCAATTGTCAGAAATATTTGCCCCCAAATAAACTATTGTATTTAAGCCACACCACCCAAGAAGAAAAAGAAAAGAAAAAGGAAAAAACAAAAATTCCCAGAAAACAAAAAAGTGCTAATACCATTTTATTGGAGTCTCACAGATTGACATGACCCAAAGTCGTGTGTTTTCTTTCAATTTCCAGTTCTCCTTTTCACAATATGAACCAA